GCCGCCTGTGGCCCCCCCCCCCCCCGCCCCGGTTCTGCGCCTCGTGGGGCGAGGCCACGTGGCATTCACAGAGGGGGCTGGGGTAGGGGTGGAAGCGACTGCTCGACTTTCCGGTAAGCATAGGTTTACCGATATCGACTAGTCCCTCAACTAGTTGCTTCCCCCCCCCACTGCCTTGCTGCCGGCTTAAAAGCCGGTTCCCCCCCTGCACCGTCTCCACAGGGGAGGCAGAGGGTCCCGGCTGGCGCCCAGGCTATATCTACATTGGCATGATCTTGCGCAAATACTCTTTAGCACAAGAGTTCTTGCGTTAAAGTGTTTGCGCAAGAGAGCGTCTACTCTGGCATGTGCCTTTGCGCAAGAGCATCCGTGCCAGTGTAGACGCTCTCTTGCGCAGGAAAGCACCAATGGCCATGCTAGCCATCAGGCTTTCTTGCGCAAGAAATTCATGTTGCCTGTCTACACTGGCCTCTTGCACAAGAACAGTTGCACAAGAGGGCTTATTCTTGAGCAGGAGCATCATAGTTCTTGCACAAGAAGCCCTGATTTCATACATTAGAATGTCAGTGTTCTTGCGCAAGAACTCCCCGCCGGTGTAGACAGCATGTTTTTGCGCAAAAGCGGCTGCTTTGGCACAAGATCGCGCCAATGTAGACACAGCCCCAGTCTCAGATGCTGAACCCTTGTTTTTTAAATGTATTAAGAGCCTGCCTGTTCTTATTACATTTAAAAGGCAGAGCAGCAGCGGGGTTAGCTCCTGGGGCCCGGAGCTAACCTCACTGCAGCTCCTCTGCTTATTGACTAATCAGCTAGTCGATGGATATTTCATCAACTAGTCAATTAGTTGATTAAACTAAATTTAGCATCCCTAGTTTGTAAACCACACTCCATGGGGGGGGGCAGGGTGCCCTTGCAGCAGCTTGGGACAGCTGAGAAAGCAGGTCACAGCAGGGGCTTTTGCAAAAGAATGCATCGATTCAGCACATTTCTGCCAGCTGAGGCCCTTGTGATGCACTGATTGGAAGTATAAATCCAGGCCCGTACACAGGAATTTCAAGGGGGGAGAGGGTGCTTTTTTTGTAAATGTAGACCGCAAGGGTGTGAATGCACTCCCCATGCTCCCCCAACTAAGCGGGGAAATCAGCCCCAGCCTTCCCCTGGCCGGCCAAAGCATGGGTGGGGAGGCTCGGGGGGTGCCACTCCTGCTTTCTCTTGGGCGCCCCAAGCATGCTTACTTGGGGGACCATGGAGGGTTCCTTTCACACCATTCTCACACACACACACACCCGTGTATGGGCCTGAAATGTGCCCACTCTGGCAAATCCGCTGGGGAGGGAACCAGCAGTCAGTCAAGCCCTGGACTGTGTTGATAGCTGGGAAAGTGAGGGGCAATGTGAGTAAGTGACTCCAGAATACAAACGTGGAAAAATACAACCCTGTCTCAATGCTTATTATGCAGATAGTTGATACAAACCTTCAGGCAGCCACCTGACTGAATGTGAAGTTCACATTACACATGAAATATATGGTCAGTCTTTATATAATTGACTGAATTGCAAACAATAAATAGTAGTATTAGAAGTAAAAGTCTAACATAATCAGTCATAATCATAGTGGACTCAAGATTACCCCAAAAATATATTCACTTGTAAAGAGTTGTGTCAAGTATCTCAATGCAGATTTAAAAAGTCTTCTCGGGTCCCTGAGAATTCCCAGCGAGTTACTAAGGAGTCTGCAGAAGTCAGTACAGGCAGTCCCCGAGTTACGCGGATCCGACTTATGTCGGATCCGCAGTTACGAACGGGGCTTTTCTCGCCCCGGAGGACGGGAGCGGCGGGATGCCCAGATGCGCCGCGGTCCGCTGCCCCCGTCCTCCGGGGCGAGAAAAGCTGCTCCCCGTCTCCCTGGTCTGCAGGGAGGGGAGCAAAGCCTTGGAGCACGCCCGCAGCGGGACAGCCCGGGCGCGCTTGAGCTGTCCCCCTGCACCTTCTGAATGCCTCCCACTTCCCTCACTGCCCCTCCCCTCCATGCCCTCTTTCTCCCCCTCCTCCCTGCTCCAGCCCCATCACCTGCTGAGCCCAACTGCGCCCCCGGAGGAGGAGGCGGTGCCGCTGGACCAGGATCCCGTGTGGCAGAAGTGGTCCAGCAGGCAGAGGAAGGGGAGCAGGACAGGGAGGGGCTGTGCGCCACTGGAAGCTGGCCCTGCTGCCCTACACAACCTGCTAGGGGCGAGGGGAAGGAGGCTGCTGTGCCGTGACGATGTCCCCATCAAGTCAGTAGTGAAATGTCCGGCGGGGCTGTCTGCGATATTTCACTACTTGATGGGGCACCGGGACAGAGCATTTAAATTTGGGACAGTGCTGGAAAAATCAGGACATATAGTCAGTGTACCAATATCCTGTCTCCAACAGACAGACACCTCTTGCAAATTCTGACAAGTGCACACCAATGGTTATCTAATTAAATGGCACATTGTCTGTCAATGCTAATTTTTAAAATACAGGCAGTCCCCGGGTTACGTACAAGATAGGGACTGTAGGTTTGTCCTTAAGTTGAATCTGTATGTAAGTCAGAACTGGCGTCAGCCGCTGCTGAAACTGATCAGTTTCAACCGCGACTGAATCTGGACGCCAGTTCTGACTTACATACAGATTCAACTTAAGGACAAACCTACAGTCCCTATCTTGTACGTAACCCGGGGACTGCCTGTATTTTAAAAATTAGCATTGACAGACAATGTGCCATTTAATTAGATAACCATTGGTGTGCACTTGTCAGAATTTGCAAGAGGTGTCTGTCTGTTGGAGACAGGATATTGGTACACTGACTATATGTCCTGATTTTTCCAGCACTGTCCCAAATTTAAATGCTCTGTCCCGGTGCCCCATCAAGTAGTGAAATATCGCAGACAGCCCCGCCGGACATTTCACTACTGACTTGATGGGGACATCGTCACGGCACAGCAGCCTCCTTCCCCTCGCCCCTAGCAGGTTGTGTAGGGCAGCAGGGCCAGCTTCCAGTGGCGCACAGCCCCTCCCTGTCCTGCTCCCCTTCCTCTGCCTGCTGGACCACTTCTGCCACACGGGATCCTGGTCCAGCGGCACCGCCTCCTCCTCCGGGGGCGCAGTTGGGCTCAGCAGGTGATGGGGCTGGAGCAGGGAGGAGGGGGAGAAAGAGGGCATGGAGGGGAGGGGCAGTGAGGGAAGTGGGAGGCATTCAGAAGGTGCAGGGATAAGGGATGGTACTGGTGCCAGGGGATTGTGGAGTGAAGCAGAAGGGTATACACGTGGAGGGGAGGGACGGGCGCCAGAGGAGAGAGGCAGGACAGGTGGGTAGAAGGAAATGTTAGGAGAGAGGATGGGGAGTGGTAGCTACAGATGATCACAGTGGGCTAGAGGGAGTGGACACAGGGGGAAAAGAAGGGTTGGTGCAGGCGAGGGGCACAGGTCCCCAAAGGGCTGAGGGGAGTGAGAAGGGCAGGAGCCAGGACAGCAGAGGAGGGAGAGAGGTGGGGGGCAGCAGGCACCAGAGGAGCAGATGGGGTGATGGAAGGGGAGGAGACATGGCAGCAGCAGGTAATGGGAGAGGTTTATAAGATATTTATTAATAACTTGGGTGCCACAGTGGCACATCCAAACAAGCACACATGGAGAAAAATCTCAATCTCTCTCTCTCTCTCTCTCTCTCTCTCTCTCTCTCTCTCTCTGTATATATATATATAAGATTTTCCTGCCGGGCAACAGAATGACATCATCAGTCTCTCATGTTCTCTGGCCGTGAAAGCCGACAGAGAGGGGGGGTTGGAGTGTAGTGAGCAGGGGGC